CACTAGGCTCCATAAAAAATAGCTCCCAAAAGAATTTACTGCAGAGGTTTCAACCCTATATCTGCTATTAAAGAATGATTCTCTCACAGTACTTCTCTATACAATGTATAAGAGCACAAGATATGAAAATAATCTTTTTCTAAAGAGGGTTAGTATCTTAAACTCCATTCAGACTGAGATACACATCTTACTGGTATTCAGTCAGCCTGCAAGTTTTCAATCTCTCAGCACTAAAGTTGATGGCAAAATACACATTCTGAAACTAACGTTTATTAATAGAATTTGAATGATGCCACAGTAAACCCTCAAGAAATTACTAAAACCCCTTTCTGTACTAGAATTTTGTTGCACAATATATCATTACAATAAGTGGGTCAGTAGGCCTTGGAAAACTGCTTGTCTTAACAAATTTTTATCAGAGTAGTACTTGATGTAATAAAATCTGACCCATATCCCACAACATACACTGCCATTGAGACAGAAGTTATGATCAATGAAGGAACAGAAACCCTGTTATAGGGTGAATGTGCGGGCAATGGACACCAATGAATCATAAGTCTTACCTTAGCTTATTAAATAAAACCAGTGCCACACTTTATGAAACTATCTTTGTTTCTTCTTATACAACTCCTTCCAGTACATGATACCCCTTGGAGGGTTAGACTTGAGAGAGCAAGGACAGACATTTGGAAAACGTGCCTTCTGCTTCATCTTCAGGGTCTTTTGTGACTATAGACCATGTAAGTGCCTAAGCACTGGTTCATGGCTGAACCAAAAAAGCTTTGGTTTCCATGCGCCCCTGGCTCTGTGACTCTAAGGATGGACTGCGGTAATGCATCATGCTCAGAGCAATGCAGGCAAACCATGTCCAGGTTGTAGTTACCAGGAAATTCAAGAGCATGACTGCTCAAGGGCAGTCACCCAAGCAAGGTCATAATATTCAGGCATCCTTTCTCAGGCACTGCACCTGCTCCCTATCATTCATCAAGACTTTAAATCACACGGGTTCCTTGGGAACTATCACAGAACAACACTGGGAGTAAGCCAGGAACTGCATCAAGAAGGATACAGGTCCTGGTATGAGTGTGCACGTGTGTGTGTGCATGTGGACGTGTGAGTGTGTGCATGTGTGAGTGCATAGGTGTGCATGCGTGTGTGCACACATGTAGAAAGAGAGAACCACATCCTTCAAAAGAAGGCAATCCCTGTTTTTGCTTACATTTTCACACTTTGCCTTTTAAAAGTTTGTATAATTATTAATACAACATAGGCTGTAGTAATACAGACCTGGGTATTTTCTCTGCAGCCTTTCCAACATTTCTAAGGAGGCCAAAATTCACTATACTTCCTGTGTTCCCAAGGGTTCCAAAAATCACTAAATTTTTTCATGTACCAAATATTAAAACTAACAATGAATATAATTAGTTACCCAAAATGCTATTTCAAAACCATCATCATTACTATTTTGCTCATAATAGAGAGTACAGCTAGTTAACAGCCTCTAAAACATATCTCAAGGCACCACAATTGAAGTGTAAAGTGTAACAAAAACATGTGCTGGCCAGTTAAGCTGGTATTTAAATGTAGCACTAAAAATGCATTTCACACCTAACTTCATCAATCACCACCCAATCTTATTTTACATATTGGCTACCAAAAGAAAATGGGATTTGTTTCCCTAAAGAAATATGTCACTGCTCTGCTTGAATTATTATTAAGCTTTACTATTACAGAGAGAAAGAGTCAAAAGGAAATAAAATTAGATCCAGGTTGCCATCTACAGACTGATTTCAGCATTGCTCATATAGCATTAAATATCAAAATATAGAGAAAAAAAGAACAAAAACATGCAACTCCAATCTTAATTATAAAAAATGAAGATAGTCTACAAAGTCTTTTTTTTTCAAATTAAGATGAGAACAGTTGTAAAAGTACATAGGCAAAAAAACACTGGATAGAAAATTCACATTTAACATATGCTATAAAATAAACATAGATATTCACACTAACTCTAATATTTAATCCTTTGAAATAAAATTATTTAATACCAAATTAAAATATATATTTTAAGTAGAAAAAACTACATAGATTTCATCTCTAAAACTAAACTCTTCTATTTTTTACTCATTATCTTGATTCTCCACGCCCTTCACATTCATTTTCTTTCAGATCTTTACTGCTTTTACCTCTCTAAAGAATAAGAGCCCTCTTGAGAAAGAAGGATCCAAAAGCACACACTTGATTCTAATTACTAAAATAGATGGCATTAAACTAAAAAGCAACTGAAGGTTGGATTAAGCAGTTAAAGAAAAAAGAGATGGTTTGACATGACGATCTGGAAAATTTCTACGGCCAAGACATGCAGAGGAAGATCCATTAAGGAAAAATAGCTCAATATTCAATAGTATGGGTTTAAGCTAATCTGCTTAAATTTATCAATCATTGTTTAAGCCAGTTGAACCGCACAGGTTTTTTTAAGCGTTTGTTTTTTTTTTTTTTTTCCTTTTTCCTGGAGAAGTTGTTTCTGGAAGCCAAGATTCAATCATTTTCCAGGTTACATGTTCTTTCTATCAGGAAACGCTTAAATATGCTTCTAGATCAATGGTACAAGCCTCCTACTGGGGAAAAAAAAAAAATTCAGTCCCCAGAATCTTTATTCAAAAGACACCAGCAGATGTTCCATATAACAATGAGATCCGAACAGTTAAAAACCTGTGATCTGCTTATGATAAAGCTCATTAGAAAATATACACTTTAAATAGGCAATTGTCCAAAACAACTGCAGGATGCTCTAAAGACAAGGAAAGAACTGTTGAGGGCTTCTACCTTTTCTTAGCATTTTTAAAATATGACTTGCTTCAGTGTTAAACATGTTTTTGTTCTTTTTCTATGCAAATAGACACAAATGTTTTTGAAAATTGTGAATTTCTACAAAAGCAAAAATACTGATAATACAACTTTTAGTAAAGGTTTCTTCTCTACAAAAGGTGGATGTGTTCAGGCAGCCTCTTGTGTCCCCAACTCTCTATAAATGGCATCACCTGAAAAGATAATGTTGTGAGATTTGTTCTCAGGGTCAAATACTAAATCTAAAAACTTTTAAAAAATATACTGAAAGTAGGATTTGGAAAGGAATTTTCATAAGATAGTAAGAGCATCACAGAGAATAAGCAATCAATCTTCTATAAAAGCATTTCAATAAAAAATAATTCATAAAAACTTTAAAACGGGTCCTGTTTCTGAGTGGATTTTAATATTACAGAGACTTATCTATTTTTTAACTTCCACCATTCATTCCTTCATATGTATTAAACTTGTGTCAGTTGTTAGGGATAAAAATACTAGCAAGATAAAGTCCATAACCTTGGGAGTGTCACAATCTAAAATACATTGATTAAAATAAGCCTCTGTTAATTTTTATGCTCAATGAATAGCATGTTCTTCCAAGTTAATTTTTCCCCCCATTGGTATCTGTTAATTCAAAAAAAAAAAAAAAAGTTGCTGTTGAGTCAGTTCTGACTCATGGTGACCCCATGTGTGTCACAGTAGAGCTCTGCTCCATAGGGTTTTCAATAGCTGATTTTTCAGAAGTAGATTGCCAAGCCTTTCTTCCAAGACACCTCTGGGTAGACTAGAACCTCCTACCTTTGGATTAGCAGCTGAGCATATCAACCATCTGCACCACCCAGGGATTCCACCTGCCATGTAACAGGCACTCAGTAAACATTTGCTGAATGACTGCACTCCACTCTGGCCCCCTTGTTTCGTGGTGACTGACAAGGAGTGTTCAGACTTAGATAAGCAAAACCTTAAAGATAAATCTTAGTATGAGCCCACATTTTACAGATGGATAATAAAGCTAAAAAAAAGTTTCGTGACTTGCCCAAAGTCAATAGCAGGACTAGGACAAGAATCTAGGACTCTGACTTCCAGCTATCACCATGACTTAAGTCATTCAAGACTTAAACCCCTTGCACTTTGTGTAATTGGTCCCTCTTTGTGTAATTGGTTCATTCATTTAGCCTATTCTTTTAACCTAATCTCACGCATGTTTCTTCCAGCTCTTTCATCATTTGTGCAGTTTCCTGTAGACTCTCGCACAAGTTCCCGAAGTCTCATCAGTTGTGAAGCCTTCCTTAGCTGTGGTTCTAATGTGACTTCTCATAACAACCGTGAAATGAGTGGGGCCTCCAGGCACAAGATGAGGCTCTGTCCACACCTCAACCCATCCATCCTCCTCCTGGGCACCCCACCATGTCCCACTGCAGGTGGTGTGAGCAGATTCCAGGTAGGAAGGAGAAGCAGTCACTCCACTGGGCTTTTTTCCAGGCAGCCCTTCCTGCCCTCCCACATCACTCCCCTCTCACGCGCTATGCCCCACTGGGAGAAAGATGTGGCAGTCTGCTTCCATAAAGATCATAGCCTTGGAAACACTATGGGACAGTTCCACTCTGTTCTACAGGGTCACTATGACTTGACGGCAACTGGTATACCACCTCTCACATGGTATTGAAGAAAAAACTGCATTAACTATTTTTGGTATGTATGCTGTTACTTATTGGTAAAGTTTTGTGTGTGTTTAGTATTCTCTTGACTATCAGTAGAATTATAAAACATCTTGTCAGGAAAGGTGATCTGTGTGAAAAGTAAACCACAATGAATGTGGGCATGGGCTGGAGATAAATAAGGGAAACTGATGTCAACAGCAGCTGATAAAAATGTTAATCAAGCACTATCAGTAGGAGCAGACAATGGTAAATTTTACCTTTTTTATAAGACCACCACAAGAAACATTTGCTTCCAAAATAAGAGTTCTCCCAACGCAACACCTAAGAAATGGAGCATGAAAAACAGCAGCATCCCTCATATCCAAAAAGCCTTCCTCGAAAATTCTTATACAGAGTACCTTTTGTGCACCCAGGAAAATTAACGAATCTGTGTAAGAACTAAAATTATGTCACAGCCTCAAGATGGCTGTATAATTGTAGCAATAAACTTACCACTGTTTGGAATTGTTTGCAGTGAATTCTTTAACTTTACATTTTGTTTCACTTTCGTGGGTTTTTCTGAATTTGCAACATCTTCTTTTTTCCCTTTTCTCTTCTGGGGTTGAGGAGAAGAGTTGTCACTGTATCCGATTGTAGACTTAGATTGGCGATCATTTCCCTAAATGGAAAAAGATTAGATCTTTACACTTGACTAGTGAACTCCCAAAGTGATTCCCAGTAAATGCATGTCATTAATGGCACTAAAAAAGGGCGGGGGTGGGGAGATGGATGTATTGTGCTGATTCTGCTACTTTCCGTTTTGATACAGTAACACCAAATTTATCTTCCCAGGGGCAGACGAATGGTCTAGCAGAAAAAGGAGAATAAAAATAATAGCTAACAAGTGTTGAGTATTTAATATGTACCAAGAATTCCATAAAATTATTTCACTTCATCCTTACAATAATGCTATGAGACAAGTATTGTTATCACCCCATTATACAGATGAGGAAATGGGGCATAGAGGTTAAGCAGATTGCCCAAAGTCACACAGCCAGTAAGGTGAAGAGCAGTCTGCCTGCAGGACCATGGCAGGCCCATTGCCTTAACCATCCTCTCACTCCCACATCCTTCTGAAGAAGCAGTAGGTATATACTGGGGGAAGAATACTGACAACCCTGAGTTTGATCAGTTAATCTAGAAGGATCTTAATGAGTTGTTGCTGGGAATGTATAGATATCATCATACAAGCAGACATACGCCATGCTGGTGGAAACTCTCCAGTATTAACTCATCTGATTGGTGACAGCCATGGTCTCTATGAATCGCAAACCCAGATGGACATACAGACACAGCAACCCAGGACCACATGCTCTGTACTTGGTACCCCGAGGGCTCCGTGTGGTAGGCTTGTCCCCTAGTCCTGCAAGGCAGCCACAGGCTATCACACCTTTGCTGGTTGTCTCTGGTTCCCCACATGCCTCAGGTAATGAAGACCTTGCCTTTGCCAAAAGTGGGCTCCTCAGCACTAGGGTGAGGTTGAGTTTCAGTAGCTCCTGTCACTGCCTCAAGTGCAGTTCCTGGGAGCCACAAAACAGATGCTATAGTGGTAGCTACTGCAAGCACCCAAGGACTGGCTATGCTGATACTCAGTCACTGCCTGGCCACTGCTGCAGCAAAAACAAATAACAATTTTCACGGAGTCAGCTCTGACTCATGTGACTTCATGTGTGTCAGACTAGAACTGTGCTCCACAGGGTTTTCAATGGCTGATTTTTCAGAAGTAGATCACCATGTCTTTCTTCCCAGGAGCCTCTGGATGGATTTGAACCAACAACTTTCAATTAGTAGCTGAGTGCTTAACCATTTGCACCACCAGGGGACTCCCTACAGCAAGAAACTCCCTCCTACTACAGCAGGCTTGGCTCTCGGATACTTAGGTGCTAAACTTCCCTGAGTGTGTAAGGTGTCAGGCTGTCGGTCATGGAAAGAATGCAAGTTTCAGAGACTCAAAGTACCTGGGTCAAAGTCACTGCTCTGCCACTAACCACCTATGGAACCTGGGGCTAACTAACTCCTAAATACTTGGAGCCTCAATTTCCTCACCAGTTGAATGAGGTTAATACACGTGCCTTTAGGTCTATAAAAAAAGCAAACCAAACTCACTGCCATTGAGTCAATTCTGACTCACAGCGACTCTATAGGACAGTGTAGAATTGCCCCATAGGGTTTCCAAGGAGTAGCTAATGGATTCAAACTGCCCACCTTTTGGTTAGCAGCCAACCTCTTAACCACTGCACCACCAGGGCTCCTTTAGCTCTACAGTAAGGAAGAAATGGGAAAGTGAGTAGTGTAGTGCCTAGCATATAATATTAGCTCAATGAGTACCAGAGTGCTTTCTCCAGGGGTAGAGATTTAATATCTTCTTCTTAAAAATCATATCAAACTCACACCATATTGGCTGCAATCTTTATACAATATCTGTGCTATGTTAGCATCTGAAAATAAATGTAATATTATTAAACAAATCTGCCTAGAAACCTATTAGAACTGCTCATTTTAAACATTTATATATTCAGCCATCCAGAAGCATTTAAATGATTTTAGCCATCACCCAATTAAGAATTAAGAACAGAAAAATTCACAGCATTATAAATGAAGTTATTTATGCTATTTTGTCATAGCCTACAAGAAAATGAATTATGCATAAATTTATTAACAGTATGAAAACTTGTCCAAATCTGTAACACTTTTTTATGTAATTTAATTTCCTATTCCAACTGCAATTTAAACACACACTTTTTCATTTAATTATTGCATTAACTGCAACCAGAGTTTTTTCTTTTCTTCAGTGATTCTTTCTCACAAGGCCAAACTCTCTGGCATTGATAATATGATTATAGCAGAGATTCCAAAACCATCAGCCAGGTCTCACATCCCAGTCTTTTTTCAATCACCCCTATCCATCCCAAGATGCTAAAATTTGAAGAGCCTTGGATGAGAGTAGCCACCCTTCACAAGCAATTGGCAGGCCTACTAGAATGTTCAGAGATGCTATTGAACTTGTGAGGACTAAAATGAGACCTAATGAATGAGAAATTCTGGATTTCAGGAAAATACAGTTTTTTACAGTTTTCTAGGGAAAGTATTACTCATAAAACAGATATAACAAAAGAGAAAGCAGAAGTCCAGTCCTGGAGTGCCTAATGATTCATATAATTTTAAAAATCAACTCTCGTGTTGAATATACAGGAAAGTTCTGATTCACTGCATTTGTGATATGGACACTCATATTGGTGATATTGGAACATTAAGAAAGATTAGTTGCTTCAGGTAACTATGTAGGGCATGTCTTTGGTAAACGACACCCATGCATCAATTACTGAATACCGGCTTTGCACCAGATACTTTGCAAGAACTAAACTGAGAGAATGGGAAAAATTGTTGTGTAATTAGAAAATCAGAAATAATTTAAGTGCTTTTCTTTTTTTAAAAAGAAAAAAAAATTGATTCATGTAAAGTGTTAATAATTTTAAACTGAATATAAATTATATAGTATGTAATATAGATGTTATATATTCATGTGTTACATATTTATTTTATATATTTAATTATATACATTAAATCTAATACATAAATAAATTAGATAAGTAGACAGACAGACAGATAGATGATAGAAAGATAGATGAGGAAGGAATCTTCTTTTCTGAGGCTTCCACATGTGACTTGGATACAATTAAATTATATGGATAATAGATATAGATAAGTATAGTTATAGCTATAGTTATAAATATATATACATAGCTATAGATATAAACCAAAACAAAAAAACCTACTGCCATTGAGTCGATTCCGACTCACGGCAACCCTATAGGACAGAGTAGAACTGCCCCATACGGTTTCCAAGGCTGTAATCTTTACAGAAGCAGATTGCTACAACTTTCTCTCGTGGAGCAGCTGGTAGGTTCAAACCGCTGACTTTTCAGTTAGCAGCCAACTGCTTAATCACTGTGCCACCAGGGCTCCTAGCTATAGATATAGATATTCATTTCTATCTAGGGGGTAGATGATACAGGATAAGGCAGCTATGCCAGTGGTTATATTATTGTTCATCTCTTATGTGCTAAATAAACATTAAGACTCATTTTTACCAAAATTTATAGATAAGTATTATTGTCACTATTTTATAATAAAGGAATTCACTTTCCCCAGGTTCCTCTAGCCTGTTTATGCCACTACCCTGAAGATTCCTAACGTCCAAGGCACTAGAAACACCTATTGTATAGTATGGCTCCCTGAAACAGTCAACCCGAAAGTGACAAATTTTATGACTTTATCCCTAAGTAGAAGGAATCAGGAATGCAGCATAATTTTATAGGGTATCCTACACAAAAACTAGACCCCATGTGATACTTCAACCACTATCCTGCCTTTTGCCTTATATACATATCAGTACATCCGATAGGAATAGTAAACCTCTGGCTCAAACAAAGCAACAAGAGTCCCTTAAATCACCCCTCAGTCTAATGAGATTTGGATTTTCTGACAGATCTCTAGGGTCTTTTCAATAAGATCCAACAAACTCAGCTTACTTACATCAATAAAGTAAACCATTTTCCACACCCATAAAAGCATGTGAAAGACACACAGATCATAAATCTATTTACATTATTCAAGTTGAGATAATTTTGAGAGGGGTTTGCTTCACTGAGCAGTTTCTACATGCATGTATTTCAGTAGTGTAGACAGGGAGACCATGTGAGCAAGGAGAGGTCCTGACTCAGGATGGCTTTTCTCTCACTGTATATCTGATGATTGAAAGTGGGAGAAGCCCTTTTATCCATCCTGGCCTCCCCTTCACGGGCTCTGGGTGGCACAAACAGTTAGTGCTCTGACTACCAACGTAAAGGTTGGCAATTTGAATCCACCTGGAGGCACCACAGAAGAAAGGCCTAGCAATTACAGCCAAGAAAACCCTATGGAGCAGTTCTACCTTGAAACACACAGAGTCACCATGAGTCAGATTCAATTTGACAACCACAGGTTTGTTTTTTTTTTTTTT